AAGAACAAGAAGCCAGGGAGAGACTGGCTCAAGAACAAGAAGCCAGGGAGAGACTGGCTAAAGAACAAGAGGCCAGGGAAAAACTGGCTCAAGAACAAGAGGCCAGGGAAAAACTGGCTCAAGAACAAGAGGCCAGGGAAAAACTGGCTCAAGAACAAGAAGCCAGGGAGAGACTGGCTAAAGAACAAGAGGCCAGGGAAAAACTGGCTAAAGAACAAGAAGCCAGGGAGAGACTGGCTCAAGAACAAGAGGCCAGGGAAAAACTGGCTAAAAAACAAGAGGCCAGAGAGAGACGTGCTAAAGAACAAGAGGCTGGGGAAAGACTGGCTAAAGAACAGGCCAAACAACGAGCCGAACAGAGCTCCAACTCCTCGAATACAGTCCCAAGGTATTTATTCTTTTTATTACCAAAACTAAATGAGTAGGCCTTTTAAAAACGTATGGAATATTTTTTCTAATTATAGGTAGTAGAAGAATTTTCTTTCGTTATTCAGTAATCACATATTTCGGCACTGTAATATCTCTTGTCTATGTAAAAAATAGAAGATCATTTTGTTACTATCATCATTATCTTCAACAAATTTTTATCTTTGCCATACAGCAACTTCGTAGGTGGCCCTCAGCAGCAAGCCGCAGTGATTGTACCACCGCAGCAGTTATACCCTACCCTGACCCAAATGCCGAACTACCCTGTTCATGTCAACCAGCCCCATCCGTTAATTCAGACTAATCCTTTTCAACAACCCAACCCTATGTTCCAACATTACCCGCAATTCAACCCACCCCAACCTTGGAACCCCCCCCAGCACGTAAACCATCTCAGGAACCAACCTAATTCCTATCAAAACCGAACGACGCCGACGCCACCGCCGCAAGATTTCGTCTTTGTAAACGCGCCTGGGCAAAGGTAGCTAACACTCAATTTACTTACTTACTTTTACAAAATTACATTTTTTTTAGTTTTAAGTTAACAAAGTATATCATTAATGTAAGACCCACTCTATCCACTTTTGAATAGATATAGCATTACCGAGCCTAGTAATTATAAATAACACCCAATGACCAAGGAAACAATAATTTGCGGACGCAAAAATTAGTCCAACCGAATCCTCTTCGTCGACTCTTATGCCGCGTCTCCAAGCAGTTCCAAGTGACCGCTCTCCACTTACTCCATTTGGCCTTGATTTCCGATGTATAGAGACTACTTTTGTATTTACAAATGTTGTGGATTTTTCGTAATCATGAATTTAGAAGTTAAGTTCGAGTGGACGAGAAAACATGTTGAAAATGGTTTTTTACTCTGACGGCAGAGTTCTATACAATTTTCCACGCACCGTCACCGTCAAACATATCATATCTTTAACTAATAATATTTATATTCTCTTTTAGGGCTCGTCCTGTCAATAAGAACCGAGGAATCTATGATTGTCCCACATGTAACCAAAGATATGGGTGGAAAATATTCCAATGCCCGAACGGACACAGCGCCTGCAATGACTGCAAGATCAGAGGACGAGCCTGCGCCATCTGCGGACTGTCCCTTACTGGAGTCAGGAACTTTGAGGTTGAGAATTATGTAGCTCAGGTGAGTACCAAGCAAAATTACGAAAGTTTGTGAGAATGAATAAATGTCGTTAGTAACTCTCACGTTAAAAAATCTGTACATATTTTATAAAATTACTTAGTTTGGAGTAGCACATAAGCTACTTTTATCCCGGGAGAATTACGATTTCCGTGGAATTCGTTCATGTGAAGTCGCAAACATCACTAGCAAAGAAATAGTGTGATGATAGGTAAATGTAAACTGTTGCAAGAAGATTGTCGTAATAATAAATAAGTTATCCAGAAATAATACCGAATGGAGCAATAACTACAACTACAATACGATTTTCAGTCACCAACAACCTGCCCAAACAAAAATGAGGGATGTAATTCGATGATCAAGCTGATTAACATGGACAGACATCTGGAATGTTGTCCTTATAAAGAACAGCAGTGCCCTCTCGCCACCATCTTCGGAACATGCCGCTGGAAGGGTAAGATAGTTACTAAATTACATAATAACATTACTAAATCTTTTTGCCGAATATGCTAGAGCGTTTTCACTCTTTTTTCTGCTTGATCTATTTTAAAAAGGTACAAGCCTATATTTCTATAAACCGGGCCCCGTTGTAGTCGTGCTAAAATACTTGTCAAACCTTACATCGAATTAGAATACAGTTTTGATTAGCTCCATCAAAAGATCTATGTCTATGTCACAAACTAACTTAAATTATATTTTCAGGTAAACTGAGCCAGTTGTCGACTCACTTTGACGAGATGCACTCATCGAGCCGCGGAATAGACGTCGACAAAGAAATTTACTTAAGAGACATTCATAATTCGAGCCGGCAGGTTCATCTCGTCGTTATTGGCGGATATAATTTCTTATGTCACCTTCAAGTTTCTGAATCGGACGGCAAAATCTTCATGGCTGTCCAACTCTTGGGCAATACTGCTGCAAAGAAATGGTCTTATGAAATCCACGTTTACAAAAAGTCTGAACCGCGTAGGAAATATATATACTCGGATACTTGTGTCTCTTCAAAGAAAGAAGTGTTTAAATCCGGGAACTGCGCAGTGCTGCCGATATCTTATGCTGCAACCTTCGTCGACAGAGAGGGCATGGCATTCAAATTCTCCATCCAAAAAATGGTGAATGAAAACAACGAAGAAGATGATCAGGATGATCAGCCTGAAGAAAATTCAAGTGCGCACAATGACAACAACATTAACGAACTACGAGAAAACATGAATGTAAATGATACTGGTAAGAACTATTATAACTATCGCGGTAGGGGCAGGGGTAGAGGTAGAGGTAGGGGCAGGGGGGCGAATAATTACAATAATTATTATCAGCATAATAATAATTAGACGAGACGTCTTACGTAATCAATCAACGTAAGACGTCTCGTCTGAATATAGACGATGCTTTTAAATATTTTTCCTTTTATATTTCTATTTTTACTAATTTGGTTTAGTAAAAAATAGTGTGTTTCTAATGGCGCCACTGATGGCCGACTCTTTTGAGTTTCTTTTTATAATATGTATGTAACAAAGTTGTTTTCACATTTTAGTTTACACTTTGAGAACAAATATTTGATTACAATTTATTATTAGTCAGCTTGTATTATAAGATTTTATGTTTTATACTATTATGATTTTAAGTAGGTTTATAAGCTAAAAAATAAAAATATGTTACGTACCTAACTGGTGTTTATGTTTATTGGCTAATGTTATAAGAATACTTTTGCTTGAAAAAAACATTAGGTACCTACTGTTTCCACATGCATACCCGCATGAAGTTCCAGGAATCAGGTAAAGTTAAGATAAATATATTAAGCTTATCTATATTTACCATAGACAAATTATGTTATTGGTCCACGGTTTTACGTAGTTTTACGTATTAATTTTAATTGCTAAGATTATTTTTTAATTATGGAAACACTGAACAGTGTTGCCAGGTAGGGTTTACCACTGGCATGTCTTGGCATATTCATTATGCATGACCGTTTATTTGTTTTAATGATTTGCATTATCACAAATAAATATTTAAATAAAAAGCTTGCTATGGAATGGTGTCATTGTTTTGTTATCACTTGTTAGTACTTGAGTGTTTTTATCTTTTAACATCATTAAATACCTCTTATTATATTCTTATTATTTTTAGACGTATTTACAAATAATTAAAGCTTATGTATTTAATGATTATTAGTATATTTTAACATTACAAAATGTGATTGTAATAAAGTAAGTACTACACTTACATTTATGTATAGAGATGTGAATAGACCTGAGTATTCACTTGTAGAGTTGTAACACAACATTAAACTGAACAACGAGCCGAGCATAGAACCAAACATTGCTACGAATATTTTCAGTAGCATTCTAATTCTAGCGATGCCTAGTCGATGTCAGACTTGATAGATCTTTACTGTCATTTGATAAGGTATTACGTCGTGTAGGTAATAGTCCTTTTATTACGATTGTTTTCATTCATATACTTATGTACATACACACGGTTACACATCGAGCTTTACATAACCAGTATAAACTGAACGTTAAATGTGCGGAAAATTGATGCGACGCGACACCAGGATAAACTGGTTTTGTATAGATTGATGTGTGGTCGTGTGTACCTACCTACCTATGTAAAGTTTTTTTTCAATAAACACGACTTATCTATAATGATTGGTTTCATTGACGCTGCAATATTTTCAAAATATTCTGCCTGTGGGGTAAAATGTGGTGAAGTAAAATGGTGTCCAAATTGAAACAAAAGAGAATATTTTTTATCAAGTTTATTTTCATTGACAAAACTAGTGTTTAGTGATCAGTGACAGTGAATAGAGTAAGTGCGAGCACAGTCAGTATAATGTGGGCACCGAAATATTGCAACATTTAAAACTAAATAAAATACTTAACATTATTATTGTATGTACCTACCAATTATTAATTTTTAAAAGTATAATATTCCGTACACAGTCATTAAGATTTTTTAAATGGTGTTCGCGCCAATATCGCGACCATAGAATAAAAATAAACAAAATAAAATGGCCGGCTGTGCCCGCTTTTACACAAAGACATTGAATTTTATTAACACACAATTATTCAGCTATTAACCATCACATCTAATCATAAATATGTAGTTAACTTAGTAAATTAAAGTTAGATTGACGTAGAGCGACTAAAGCCTCATATACTATATAGCATTTCTACTACCATGTTTTTTCATCGACCACTATATCCGGAGAACTGTAAATTAAAAAAAAAAAAATAGGGTAGGTACTGTAAAAAACACAAAATGAAAGAACAGTAAACAACGTTAAAATAATGATATATTTTAGTATTATAAGGGTTGTCCCCTTCCTCTTGAATTAGAGGCTATTAGGACATACAATGGAGGCTAACGTTTCTTTGGTGACCAAATAGCGTAAATGTCGAAAGGTGTTTTTTGTCCAATCACAGCAGCTGTCAAATACTGAACGTCCAATTGCGTAACACTTGCTTATTGCCTATTGGTTAAAGAACGAGAAGTGCACAATAGCGCTATCTATTGAGTAAATATTAGCCACATAGTACATGCATACGTGAGATGCGCATGTGAAAAATCTCATCACATGGCATTCGTATAATAACATTTAAAGTAGTAGGTAAGTATAGTGTAGTCTAGTCTAGGTAAATATTTAATTATGTCTCTAGTTTCTTGTTAGTATCGCTCTACGTCGATAAATACTGAGGGTTTCTTCAAAAACTAGTAGGTAACTTATATGCAAATGAGAGCTCCGTGTAAAATTGCCTTTCAGCAATAAGGTTCTTCAATAAAAATAATGTAAAGTATATTAAAAAAAAATTAGGCCCCACACGAAAATAGACAACCGAAAGGAATAAATTATAGTCTTCTGTTATCGACTTTAAACAGTAATAAATAAAGTTCAGTTTATATTGTCAAATACTCGATATTTTCGATCCATGCAAACTTGAAAGTAAAAATTATTTGATACATTTTCATCTTTACATCAAAGTGTTAAGGTTGACAATCGATTAAAGGAATTTTACCTTTGTGTAAAAAGGTTAAAAGCGACAGTGCAACACGGCTTCACAACTATACATAGACACAAAACAAGTGCATATAAAAGAAATCGATACACTGAACACATTTATTCGTATTATTATTTACCATTAAGTATACAAAAAGGTCACTTGTCGAAATAAAACATGGACGGCATAATAATGGAAACATTTCTGATTACTTCATTTCTTTCGTAAATTTAAAGCTGAACCTTGGATAGTAAATTCATTTGCCGCCATTTTATGATTCCTAAAGATAAATTATTAATACTTTACTTAGTTAACTTGACATTTGAAGATTTTGCGCTCAGTAGGTGGCGCTTGTGAGGCTTTGCGTCAACATTGTATTGGATTTGTAGACTCTAGAAGTCCAATAAAAGTCGACTAAAGTTGAAAATTCATCCTTATGACTTGGAAATAAAGACTGTATTAGCTCAACTATCAAATTACTAAATACAGTAAATAATGGTTATATTCTTACACATTTATAAAGAAAGAATGTATGGAATGTATTACTCTGAATTCGAACTCTATGCATCATTGTAATAAAGTTCAAATTTGATTGAAACGTTAAAAGTAATTTGTTCACTAAAAGATGTAGTTCTATAATTATCTACCTTGTCTCTACGTTACACATATAAATATGCATACAATAGATTAATTGTTATTGATACAACACGAAGAAAATGTAAGTATTTAAAATCACTGAAATGTATCTCACTATTACGAAAACTACTCAGTTAGGGCTCGACGGTACTAGTCACAAAATAATATTAATTAAATTTGACATCCCATATTGAATAAGAATGTAAGAAAAAAAGAAAATGAAAATATCTGTCTAAACTGTTTATAGTACTTACTCACTTTTTTAATAATTAAAACATATTCAAAGTTTAAAAGTGACTAAAGACAACTTTTTTAAAAATCACCCTATAATCAAACAGTTAATGCCGGAATACTGAAACATTACTCAATTTTAAGTCGTGCTTAAATATCGTGCCATCTCTGTCATTTTACAAAGAATTTGTGGAGACAGAACTATACTTCTGCGCGACTTAAAATTGAGTAGCGTTTGAGTACTCGACATAAGAGTCTCAAATAAAAGAAATAGGTTTGTGGGTACTTACGGAAATAAGTACTTTCGTAATATCCAAAACTGTTTTTAAGCCTTTGACTGCCGACAGAAAACTGCTGATAGCCAATCTTCCGCTAACGTAGGTCACAGGTGAACTATGCGGCGGTTGACATGTTAAATACATTTTCAAATTAGTTATTGAAATTCGTAATTATATCAATTTTAAACTTATAATCTTACATTGAAATTTGAAAGTGCCAAATTATCTTCTTAAACCGTTAAAATCATTCATTAACCCCCTTGAATATAATTTCACACAATACTAATCTTTAAGTCCTCACCATAAATTTCAATTTCCTTTACTTCAAACACAGTTTTCAACAGCTTAAAAGCTTTGTCAATAAAGTTAAAATATTTAACAAACTATGTCTAAAAATATTTAAAAAACTAAGTAATCAAATAATTAAAAATTAACACAACTAGCAAATAAAATTATTTAAGTATTACCACATACAAATAATAAAGTCAATATTCTCAATTTGGAATGTTAAAGACAATGTCAAGATTACTCAAAATTCGATAAAACGAATACTTTTAACCGACTTCGTAAATTTTGTACAATAACTATTGTAAAACATACAAACTCTTGTTTGACTTTGACATGACATGTCATTGTCACAGTTTTGGGCTCTGGTCGGGCTCGAAAGTAGTCGGAGATCCCTGTAATACATGATCCAAGCCCATATGACCATTATCGAATTGCAAACCTCTTTAAATCTCGTTGGTCCGAAAACATTTTCTTTCACTGTACATTCCCTGTTCACCGTTTGTCATAAATCCCATAACTACCTGCTTAGACAAATATCGGTCTGAAACTTCTGAAAACAAGTTCATTACTAGGTACTAAAAACAATATTAAAACTAAAACCTAAAAATATTTAAATAACGAGATCAAAACTATGTCCAAACTTGCCTTCGACAAGGGGTTGCACGTTCGAAATAATCAATTAAACAAAACACACCCTTATTTTAAAATTCAGTACACATTAAATTTATGTCAATTACATTTATAAAGTAGGTGTAAAAATCACAATCAATAAGATCACAAATATTATTCAATTAACAAGTGATGGGCAACATTCATTTTCTAAACACACAGATTAGTGAACACATGGAGGACTGATGGTGACTAGAGAAATATTTGCTTAGACAGCCTCATTGTATGGCAATGTTAGAGCTGGATTAAACCTAGAGAGCGCTAGGCAAGCACCTCGTAGGTGCCTGTAAATTTGGCGCCTCTATGGGTACACGCGTCTTGCGGTGTCATGGCGACCCTCTATAACCAGGCACCCTGGATACTTGCCTAGTTTGCCTTAAGGATAATACGGCTCTGGACTATGCATACTATACTTTGTGGTTTCAAATGTTTCTTTGGTAATTGCCAATAGACTATCAGCCAACTCTTCACTTGCAAAAAAGAAAAATAGCACAATTTCCTTTAATCCGTCTTCAGCAATCAGCCCTCCAGTTGCCACACAATATGTGATGAAACATCCGTTTACTACTTAATCTTAACACTCCGTACCTTGCCAACACATTGACAGTGTGTATTCTAACATTAAGTTTCATTCCACACAGATAAATAATTCTACGAGATCAATAGTTGTTGTGTACAAGTGTACAACACACCTTCCCACCTCTAGTTACACATTCTATCAACAACAGACTTTTAAAAACACATATCTACTAAAATCTTTGAAAAAACATTTTCTTGTGTCAAACAGTGTTATAAAATTTAAATTTGAAACACGAAAACAATGCATGGTGCCAATTTGGGTGTAAATGTGATTAGTTGTTGATGCCTCCGTTGTAAGCATAATCCGCTTTGTTATGCATCACTAGACGGTTGTCTACGAAGTAAAAACTGTCGGAACAGGTCTCAAAAGGTGCGGCAATCATTTCGTCAACTGAAACATAAAAATAAAACATTATATAGAAATGATTTAAGTAATTATGGAATTTTGTGGTATTGTCATTTACAGATATAATTTTACACAACTATTCATAATACCTATGTATTATGTCTTTAGCAGTTGCAATTTATGGAAAGACTGTAATAAAGAATAATCTGTACCTAACTAAACTTTAAATGAGTTTTTATTTAGAAAATATGAATAAACATCTTACCTAGATCAGGAGGCAGTGTAGGGAACTCATATATGTGTTCACATGTGTTTCGAGAGAATGGTATACAGAAACCAAATTCAAAATCAAATGTCTTCAGTAGGGTGTCTCTGAAAAAGTGTTTCTCAATCATCCTGAAATGGTTCACAGGACGAGCTCCAACTGTAAACTCCACACTGTAAATAAATATAGTTATATTTATTAATATTTACACAACATTATGACTGAATTAGACACCGTTGAAAAATGGTGCAGGAAATCATCGTGAGGAAATATGGACTTATAATTTGTAATTATAAGTTTGTACCATGTGAGAAGAGGCCTTCGATCAGCTGTGGCCACATACAGGGTGATTAAACTGTCAAACATCAAGCGGTCACCGGTGACCGCAACCTATTGTTCTATAATTGTGTTTATAATGACGGTACTCGACGAGTTAATGTTGATGTTGTTGTTTATTAATATTATAGTAATTTGTGAATATTATATTAAAATAATTCACAATTTGGAAATTTATAGAAATACTCGGTTTTATCAACAACTTTGCCCAGTAAAGAGGAAAGTGGTAGTAAGTTTATGTCCTTTACGAAACCTCTACAGTAAGAAGATACATAATTTTTATTTAATAAGGATTTTGTGTAATCCCTAAGGATATCCACAGAGCATATTTAGTAAAGATACAAGAAGATACCCTATTATAAAAGCAGTAGAGCTGAGAATTGATGAGTCACAACTTTCAACAATCAGTATTATTAAAACGTACAAATCTAATCAATTATTCTAATTTTTCAGCTATAGTAAGTACTTACGTAGCTCCTACAGTCTTAAGTTTCAAAAATTGAGGCGTGAATTGGTAGCGGACGAATCTTCCAGCGTTCGGGTCCAGGGGCTCTTCAGGGGCATCTTCAGTGCCCTCACTATCCACTCCGAAATCCGTCGGAGGCTTGGCGATCTCAAACAACACAGTTCCGCTCTCCAAATCACGTATCTTGAATCTCGTAAAATCTATATCGTATACATTAGCTTCTGGACTACACATATAAGTATCCGTAATCCTGTCCAGTCTCAAAACATCCTCAGGAGTTATTTCACTGACTATTACGTCGTCTTTATTGGTTTCCAACATCGATATTGATTCACACTTTTTCCCCACTAAACTCATTTTGAACTGGAAAATACACTCGCTCGCAGATCAGTAAGTAATCTCAAAAATATAGGCACGAAAGTTACAAATTATACGTAATGAAATGTGTATCAAAGCATTTTTATAGCATTTTGCTATTTATTACTGAATGAAAAATTCATTCGCTAATGTTTGTCTTTCACGTCAACCTGAAACTATGACGGCGGAGATCAGATACCACAACAAATGAAAACAATAATAGTTTTGCTTTTGATAAATTTTACCATTTGTAATTAATAACTAAGTAAAGCATAATGCAAAATATTCAAATTATTATTTCAAAATGTTTATACAACGTTTATTTACTGTACTATATGTGAAAAAGTTAAGTGAAAATATTTACAAAATATGGTTCAACTTCTTCAATGTACATTGAATCCGAACGTATGAAACTTCATATTTACCGTGTTGTATCTAATGGGAAAACTGAACATATTATTTTTTTTGAAATAATATTATGAATATTTTTAGTTTTTTGTAAACCTGAAAAAATTAATGTGTCAAAGTGACGAAAAATCTCTTTAGTGCTTGCGTGGTAAGAATACTGCGTGAAATTAAACATACCCAGTTCCGGCCGAGTTTCAGGAAAACTACGATTCTTTTCACGTTACGTGAAAACCTATATTGAAATTTCGTTGGTGTAAAGTTTCTCTGTGATGAACAACATTGATAAAAAAATTCAAAGGATTTACAGAGTAAAAATTTTAATAATATAAAACATTTACCAATGGAATTTCTTTTAAAACGAGGCCAACTGCTGCAAAAATTACATACGTGGAAAGGAATGATTTTGCAATCGTTGACGTAATATCCGTTGCGTCATAACGAAGCATGCGCCTTGTCATTTTCATTGGTTGGTCATAGATTAAAATTAAAATAATCTACCAATAATCGGGCCATCGCTCAAGTCTCGTTCTGTGATAAGTCTTCTTTTAAGGTGGTAGTGAACTGTCTGATGTGCATTTAAAGTGTTATAAAATAAATATACAACATGATTATCAAGGAATAGTGAGTATATTATGTTAAGGTTATACAAGTTTGCGAATACAAATCGATTTTTGGGCAATCTACTTGAAAATTTGCCACGGTCCACATAGTTGTTCCATCTTATCAGGAGAAGCTGTACGTAAAGTGAAATTTTAATTGTAACATTTAATTGAATTGGTTGAATTATAATGTCGACATAATAAAAAGGCAGTGACAGTGACAGATGTTCAGGTCAAGGTTTGTTCGCGGAGGCAGTGAATTTCCGCGGATTTATTAAACAGATGTTAGTGGCATATTTGGAGATTAAAAAGTAAAATTAAATCGCAATTCTCTTTGTTTGCAGCCGTGTGACACTCCCACTAACAGTCGAGGAGGTGAGTCTGTAATTTTAAGTTACGTTAGTCTCAAGGACAATAAGCCTGGCTTTTGTAATCGAAAAATTCGCAACTTGCTCTGTATCAAATGTCATATGTGGCAACAAACTTGCATAATTTTAGTCTAGATTAAGATCAGAACTTTAACAAAAATGCATTTTAGAAACTGAACTTCAGAATGAAATTTTAATTTACTAATCACTGATATAATAATTCTCATTGTATATTTGAAACAGGTTTCTAATACCTCAATGACTAGAAGTTATTTTTTTACATGTCTCACTCAGTTTTTGACAGAACATCTTATTAAAACAGAGGTAGGAAATAGGTCAAATTGTAGTCTTTCAATTTTGCAAAACTATTAAGTAGGTGGCACTAGTAATTACTGAAAGAACACACGAAAATGTAACAATTAGATAATTTTGGTTATATTAAACTTATTCTCTGTTTTTATTTGTTTTATAATTAGGTACCCATTTTTATATTTTTCGGGCAAAGGTATAAATCCAATCAGCCTAGTTCACTTCAGATATTTTAAGGTTGAATTAAAAAATTGTCCTTGGAATTTTCTTTAAATATTTATTATTTTTTTTAAATATATATTGTGTATGCTAAACCCGTCAATGATATAATCACTTAATATTTTAATATATTAGTCATTGTTCTCTTATCAAGATTAAAAGTTACTTATCTATGTGTGGGTAAAATAATCATGATATGAGTAGAAATCCATTATAAATTAATTTAAAGTGTAATTTCTTGTTGTACTTTCTGCCTGTATGAGCTGATTTTATCCATAATCTATTTACATGAGGAAGAAAAATATTGTTGCTATGAAAAATGTATGTTGCAGTGTAACATAATATTTTAAATTTTCCTGAGTACAATAGTTGTATTCAGGAAAAGTCCTGTAAATAGACACTATTAGGAAAGGAATATTATGGACAATAGTGTTCAATTATGTCAAGTAATTTTTTTAAAAACTACATTTAAACGAAGTCAATAAAAAACTTACTTCAACTCGGTCTACTTTAGAAGTCGGTTAATTAATATACTAAAACCTTTTCCGAAGTGTAATAAACAGTTTTCTGCAAACCACATCAAAGTCAGCTCGGCCAATCACGAGATAATCATGCACAAACATACATACAGGTGAAACCGAGAATATTCTCCTTTGAAGTCGGTTAAAGAGGTTGACAGCAGTAAAAATAAATAATTTTGTGTTTTAAATCTGTGATCTCAAAGCCCTATCAGAGATCCAATTATTTTATTACAAAATTCAATTAATAGTCCTACATAAGTTTATTGATTTTCAACCTTATGATGTTGCAATAAAGTCTAAAATAGATGTTCATGTTATATACATGTTCAATTTTGTGTCATTGGTAACCCATTGTCAAGACATTCAACCCAGCGAATAAAACTCTCATACAGCTAAGGTTTTGACAAGTGAATGTAACTTTATCTATGTGTAGCCGACTCCCTAAGTCATAGTAACTGGTGCACCCATACCTTATCTTGACACACTCACGCATACACACACGCAGTATACACAAATGATTTAGTACAGATGTAAAAAATACTGATACAGTTAACTTTTGATAATAATATGATAGTAACTTGTAAGGAAAACAAAAAAAAATTGGTTTTCGAACGGTTTTGTGCATCATATTTAGTCATTTTGTGTGCCAAGCAAGGTGTCTGGGATTCTCAGGTTGGACAATATACTATTGCTTCTTAATTCTTTCGAAAATTCAAAATTTACATGTGGGAGAGCCATGCTTTGGCACGAATGGGCTGGCTCGACCGAACTGATACCATGGACTCACAGAAAACCGACGTAAAACAAAGCTTGCGTTCCTTGCGTGAGTGAGGTTACCGGAGCCCAAATGCTTATCTCCCTGGGAGTCAAGAGGAAAAACAAAGTATTTTTTTAAGTTTAAATTGACATTTGTCTATAGTAAGTAACAAGGGGCAAGCAAACACCATTGTACATTACTAAATATGCATAAAGTATGTATGTAAAATACAAAGCACTATATTATCAGCAGGTGGCCTTTATTAGGGGAAATACAGCCGTTTTTTCCTTCCTTACTGCCTAATTTATATAATGGGAATGTTCATAATTAATATTAAATGTACTGCCACAATATTTAAGTAACATAATTGGGAAAAATCCCAGAAAGTCCCAGAATGCTGCTCGTTAATATGAGCCTCTAGCATGGCTTGAAACTAGTCGAGTTCCTCGTCGAATATTTACGTGGGTAAGCCGAAAAACATAATAATTTATTTAGTATGTCTCACTGTCGTACTGTATTTAGACAAAGAACTGTTGAGATTTTCAAGATATTTATCAAATGACCCACAGATCGACATTCTATTATTTATTGCTATATTTAATATAGCTACTCCCGTGCGGATTCATCCAGATCGGCTCTTTTTGATCATAGCGGGATATTTTATAGCCTATGTTCCTCGATAGATAGGATAGTCCACTATCCATTACAAAAAGACTTCAATTATAACATTGTATAATTGAAAATAAATACCGTTTTACCAATACCATTACTAGAAAAAAATAGTACTAGGTTGTCTTGTTGAAAGGGGTGGGCCCTTTCGGGAGATAAATGAAATTTGGCGTACATACAGACCCTGACCTAGTTAATACGTAGGGGTCGTTTTGACCTCGGGACGCGGGCCAAGTCGCGGTACGCTAGTTTTACGTAGTGTTAGAATTTACGTTTGATACAAATGTGGAACATGTAAAAAGAGGCGTTATTGATAACGTTTTGAGGGTAGTCTTGCAACACTTTGTACCCCTACTCTTGTCGTATTACTGACCATTTAAGAGAACATAAGTGCTAGGGGTCTCGGGTTCGATTCCCGCGCCGGGCGAAGTATTACTGGGTTTTTAAAAAAAATCTCAGTAGTAGCACGGAATCTGGAAATGTGCCCGGTATATGGCAATAGGCTCACCCCCTATTACATGGGACTCTTAACATAAATAGTGAATAGTGGGTGTTACTTCTTTGTGCACCTCTGCCTACCCTTTCGGTGATAAAACGCGTAATGTTATGTTATGTTAAGAGAACATTTGAGCGTTCTCAAACAAGCATACTAAACACGGAGATTCATAGAGAGAGGAGAGAAGAATACACACTGTAACCATACATGGTTCGAGTGGTTTGTTGCGTATCGTGTGTTTTGTGTCATCTCTGCTGCGTGAGCGTGGGAGAGTGCTGGATGCTGCATTCATGCAGTGACGAAGATCGAGGTTATGGCAAACCTTATGTTGAAGGCCCATAATTCAGCAATCGATTATCACAAACTTGATATACCTAGATCTATTACAACGACCTGGGCGATGCGCGATTTACCGAAACAAGGTCAGGTCCGGACTAGGAGTACTCTTGAATACTCTTAGATAGACTTTTTTAAACCAGGTGCATGACTGTGATGGCAAGAAAATAGGATTCGTAGACTGTTGTAGGTTAAATGTCCTCTATAGATCAGTTTCTCATACCCCCATGGGACGAAGACGTGAGTTTATAATGTATGTATGATAGCATTTACTTTATCATGGTTCAGTCTGGTAGGTAGATATAGTTTACCGCACTCGGTAACATTATCAATGATAGTAATACATTCCAAATGATATGTTATCAACATTTCCTTGTACTCCCTGGGAATTACTTGTAAGAGTTTGATAACATCAGTTGGTAATTTCGCCTTGTTAGCCCTCTGGAGATAGGCAGACCAATATTTTTACATTTTTAACGGTCATAGAGAAGAAAATGTCTATTACCACTAATAAAACTCATTAATTAGTATCAAAATACTCATTTTTACATAAATACTAAACATGATTTAAATAATATGTCCGTATGTATGTATTTATCGTATGTAATCATTAACCTTGCCGCAAGGTTTTAAAAACTAGAAAAAAATCTCGATTCATCACTTAAAAAACGTCCTTGCTAATATTAATTTATGGTAGCATTTATAATAACTACTTAGACTTACGTCTCTTTGACATTATACACGGAAAAAATAGATATACCTGGGTAATAAAGTAACAAACATTGCATCAACAGCAACTTAAGTTT